TCACACAACGAAGAACCATAGTTGATATCCTATCTGGCGCTCGGCGCCCAGACTACATGTGGCAGATCCTATCTAGCCTACACTACGATGCCGAAAGATGACGTCAACAGCTTTCCCGAAGTACGCGCATATGGCGACCAATGTCGCACGCTTCCAGCACCAGGTATGTCTCTCGCCACACTCACAACCTCGTTCCCCAACGCACAGATGCCACTAGCACCCAAGGACCACCCTGCGCCTCACCCAGCTTACAGCAGCGCAGCTCGGCTATGGCTGCGTGCTCCTTCCCTGCTCGCCCGTGAGAGCGTAGGCGCCAGCCAGCAAATAGCGCAGCAGCGCTTGCGCAGCATGCAGCCAGCACCCSAATGCCGAATCAGGAGGCAGKCCCTTTGCTATATCGAAGTGGCCTGCCTGCGTCCAGTCCCAGAAGCTTCCAGTAGGCCCCGGCAGCCTGAGGCCCAGCACGTTCGAGAACAGGCCTTGGGCCTGAGTTGGTTGCATGCGCCCAACTGCCTTTGGCCTTTGTTCGGCCCAGTACCCGTGTCCAGCCCAGGGCCTGCTTTCCATACATTCACACAGGCGGTCCAGGGCCTGGGTTCTCTCAACCAACTGGCGCTGCGCAACTGCCTGAATTTCCTTGAGTTGCGCAGAGGCCGAAATAAGGCCCTGAGGGGCCTCATCGAGCCTGCCTTCACTTAGGGCGGCCGACAGGCTCCCGAAAAGGGGCTGAATGGGGCTCATAGAGGCAGTAGCCTCGCACTCGCTTGACAGAGTTGTAGTTGCATAGCTAGGTGACATCCTAGTTTTCGGTAACATCCTAGAGGAGCATGAAGTGCATCTACGCAAAGTCCTGATGAAGCTAAGAAAGTTAGAGGTGAATCCAACGAAGTGCGAATGGGAAAACGTCAGTCATGTCATAGATGGAGATGGAGTCCAGCCAGATGACACTAAGATTGGAGCAATCAGAGACTGGTCGACGCCCAAGAACCTCACCGAGTTATGCTAATTGCTAATTGCTAATTCCTATGACTGGTTAATTATTACAGGATGTTTGTTAGAAATTTCACCAGTATAAGATAGTTTGCCAATTTGCGCAGGGCCTGCTCATCTGTAATCCCATATCCTGGTGGCTGCATCAAGTAGTCCTTTTTCCAGGTGAGAGCATGAACACAACACCAGGGGGTCCAGTCGATGACCAGAATCAGTTCACCTGCCAGGACTCCTTTATTCGTATCTTGAAAACATTCTACCATTACCTCGAAAAACTCCTCCAGGGTCATGCTCTCAGTCGCAGTCTAAGCGCATACCAAACCCGCAGCTTTGCACCTGGTTTGTACCCCAGGTTTTAGCGCCGCCCTTTAGAGTGGTTGTTGCTATGACTATCTCATCCACCACTGGCACCCGCTGCACACTCATGTACGCTTGAAACTCTGCAACCCATAAGAGGATATCTTCCTCCTTCCCTGAATGGGCATCCAACAGTTTCATCTGCACACGATCTTCGTAGCTAAGCCAGTAGGCAGTCTTTCTGTTCTCTCCCTGACTGTTACATGCTGCGCCTGCACATGGGCCCCATTTGCGGGGCCTGACGGTTGCTGAGGGGCCCCAGGCCGCATGCCATCCAGCACCCGCCCTGGAGGCTCACGGCAGCCTTCTGGGCCGCAGGCACAACCTGGGGCAGCACTCAGTTATTTATTTATTTATTTATTTACTTACGTGCTGTCTCATCTTGGTCTGTGCAGATGTTGTTTCGGACTTACAGGCCCCAAGTGGACGCCTTGGGCCAGGTACACAGGGACGAGGCCTTTCTGAGGCCAGGCACGTTTTGGCGCCTTGCTGCATCAGCAGCACGGCCTGTGCCCCGGTAGGGACCTCGACCGTACGGACCGTTCTAGGCCACACAGCGACCTACCCAGTAGGGCCCAGCGCAGTATATAGCTGGGCCTCACTCTGGGTACTGGACAGTTCGGGTAGCTCACTTCTTGGGCGACACGCTGCTTGTTGGAGGCTGCGCTATTCTGGCGCAGCGCTGTGAAGCTCGGGAGTAGAGGTGCAGGAGGTAGGGAGAGAGGCGGAGGCCTACCTGTAGCGGCGAACTTACCTGGCGCCATAGCTGGGGCTCCGCTCGGTACCTGCAGAGGGTGACCACAACAGTCAGTTCGGTGGCAGCTACCTACAGGTGAGACAGCAAGGAGGACGACATCTCTTCTTCCTCTTCGTCCTCCATCTCGTCTCACTCTCTCTCTCTTCCTCTTTCCTCCTTCATCCTCCATCTTCTTCTTCAGATACGAGAATGAGAGAGAGGTTACAGACCGAGGATACAGGCAGAGGCTACAGTGGGCATTGTGCCCAGGATCTGATTCAACATTTCTGAGGCAGACATTGATTGGACATCGGCAAGGGACTATTTTTGGACTTCGCTATTGCGATCTTGTCTTCTCCCTCGCCTCCATCTTCGTCTCTCCTCTCCCCCCATCTCTCATCTGTGGTATCTCCCCATGTGAGTGTACAAGGAGGGACCTTTCTTCTCTGTGTGCGGTCCCTCCTCCTCCTCTCACGTGTGTGATGTATGATGGTATGTCGTGTCAGTCCCGGTCAGGTCAGGACTTATCTGGAAGTCTTCCGCTGCGCTATTGTGTGCCATTTTGCGTGTATCGCGGTGTACATTGCCTGGTGATGTTTCACTAACATTGCATTGTGCATTCAGTCCATTTATCACATCGCGGATCCTTGGCTGTACATACATTGCCCAACTGGGCATGTATCAGTTGGTATCGGAGGCCCTGACACGTGTGCGGGGACTATTGGTTAGTTATTGATTAGTCATTGATTAGTCATTGATTCTATTGGTTAGTTATTGATTAGTCATTGATTGATTGATTGATTGATTGATTGATTGATTAGTCATTGATTGATTGATTGATTGATTTGAAACGGTATTCACCAGTTCGCAGTAGCTGATGCAGATTCCAGGGCTCGATCCCTAGTTCCCACCTCACCTGTGTACAGTACCTGTGTCAACCCGTAGAGTTGAACCTGCGACCTGTAGGACTGCCAGTGGTAGGTAGGTCATCGTAGGTTACACGGTATAGGGGATTCGAACTGTAGACCTGTCGGGTAGGAGTCTAGAGAGTCCAGAGGTCTTAGCTGTAGACTTTCCAAAGGGTCAAAGTCGTAGCTACTACAGGACCGAAAGGCCAAGTAGATGCTTCTAGAAGTGGCTTTTCGGAGTCAGCCCACTGTAGGTCAAGGCAAGTGGGCAAGTGGTGGAAGTCCACCGCGCAGAGTCAGCAGTCCCAGTCCAGTCAGTCCGGTCCAGTCAAGCAAGTACCGCCTGGGACTGTGTGCACCGTGGGCCAGGGTAACAGGGCAGGCCGACGAGCYACARAAGTATAAATCAAGAGGCCGCGCACAGCCATTCATTCATTCCTGCGGAAGCCAYGCGGAAGCGCTGTCTCAGYGGCTTGTGCGAGGAGGTYTGCAGTGACGCCCGAGGACGAAGTGGGCGAGAGAGACGAAGTGCAGCCATAGCGATAGGGTAGAGGCAGCCATAGCTGCCATAGCTGTAGCTTAGAGTGAAGTGTGTGGGTGTTGTGTGAGTGTTCAGAGTGATGCGTGTGGGATATCCAGGGTGATCCAGTGTGTGTGAATAGTGAGTTGTTGGGCGCTGAGTCGCCATAGCCGGTGAAAGTAAACTCTTATCTGGGTGCCATATCTCTGAGTAGAGTGGGCACATGTCGCCAGTTTGCTGTGCTGCTGTTTACATACATGAAAAGTGTGAATGAGACGAGTCTGATTGCACTGGTATCAGAGCAGGTGCCCGCTATTCCATGCGCACCGTCGTGTGCAGGCCCTGAAGCGCCATAGCAGAGGTGGCCGCCGAGGGATACAGTCCGCCATAGCAGACTTGAGGTTGGAGAAGCCGCCGCGCACCTGCACGACGACCACGACGACGAAGAAGAGAGAGAGAGAGAGAGATGAGCGATATAAGTTTGGTTGTCACTTACCTGTGAAACGTGCCGCGCAGTCCTACGAAGGAGGAAGAAGGCGGCCATAGCCGCGGAGCGTCATCACGAAGTAACGAAGGAGAGAGAGGACAGAGAAGGAGGGACCGAGGAGAGAGAAAAAGGAAGTAGAGAAGAAGAAAGGAGGAGACATCGAGGTGGAAGACAGACATAGCCGAGGGTGAAAAAAAAAAAAAAAAAAAAAAAAGAGAGAGAAAGAAAGGAAGAAGAAGGTGAAGGAAGGGGGAGAAGAAGACAAGGGTGGCGTAGAGGAAGGTGCCGGCAGCCATAGCCGAGGTGGAGAGTTGACCGGAGGGTTGACTGGACATTGACCGGAAGGTTGACCGGGGTGTTGACCGGGGTCTTACCGCGTTGACCAAGCGTTGACCGAGGAGTTGACCGGCGCCGTTGACCAAGACTTTGACCAAGCTGGAGTTGGTAATATCTCGCCAAGCCCTAGCCTACCCCCTCACCCTGTGGATGTGCACTCACCATGCGGTACTTGCTGAGTCTGAGTCTGTCTGTCTCTTCTTTCTGCATTGAGTCTCTTCTGTCCTAAGTGATAGTACTCTGTGGATGAAGGATACGGCCTGGATGATGAAACCCCTATCTACCTTGTAGAGCTGATACCGTGTCTAATCTCACTGTCCCGGAGGCCTAACCCTCCCAAGGACCGGTGTTGACCGGCGGGGCTCGGATTGGGCGTGACACGGTGGGCTTGAACGGCAGTTGTGGGCTGACACACCAGGCAGTCTTAAGTGTTGAGGGCCTTGTTGACCCAAACCCCTACCGGATCTAGTAAGGCTAAAGGCCGTGTCTGACGACTCGACTGTCTCGGGGGACACGAACCCTCCCAAGGACCGGTACAGACCGGCGGGTTGCTCGGTGTGGCACGGTAGGCCCGAAAGGCTGAGTTGTGGGTTGATGCAACAGGCAGAACCAAGCTGATCACGTCGTCATGACTACGACATTAAAGAATTCTTGCGGAGTTACGGGGGATCTCCTTAAATGCCTCCTGATCAGCCACTGGTTCAGTAGTGACAGCCATAGTGTAGGTCTAGGCTAGCGACCATAGCTGACAGGGTTCTTTCCTTAGAGAGTTTGTCAATGAGTTCTGCGGGTAGGTCTACGTGGTGAGGAGTGGGACTGTCCTGTCGTGCACCTATCACCATGGATGATTACCCGATGTACGGGCTGCTCGTGGGGTTCTCCCTTTGGGGGACCCTTTGGCGTTTCATTTTCCCATTGGGATTCTGGAACACATTTTCGTGCAGGGGTAGAGACCAAGGGTGGTACGACCACCCACCCCTACACACCTAAAGAAGAGGCCAAGGCCGCCACGATCCTGAAGGAGAGGAGAGAGAAGAAGGAGGCCAAGAAGAAGGCCTTGTTGGAGGAACAGGCGGCGAAACTGAAGAAGATAGAGGAGGAGATGGCCAGAGAAAAGGAAAGATTGAAGAAGGAGAAGGAGGTGAAACTGAAAGAGGTAGAAGAGGAGGAGGAAGATGATCAGCCACTGAAGAGGAGGAGATGGCAACGAGGGCAAACCGGTGAAGTTAGAGAGGATGAAATGGAAAAGAGGATCTCGGAATGGGTTGCCAACTTGTCTTTGGGAGAAGAGGAGGAGGTTGCAATGTATATCCCCAAGGACGAGCAAGAAGCCGCCGTTGAATCATGGGATGCAGAAGAAGACCCTCTGAAGCGCCAGGCAATGGAAGATGAGACGAGGATGGAGTGGAAGCTTAGAATGATGAGGGAAAAGAAGAGGAGAGTGGATACGGCGAGTGAGGCGGCCAAAGAATTAGAAGCGGTAAAGAACTTGAAAGAACAGTTGACCGCCCAGGTGGATCTCCAACGAAAGGTGGAGATTATTGCCCAAAACGTTGAGCGTTTGGCGCGAGGTCAGGAGGAACAATATGCGTTTAGCCGGAGTCAGGATATGGCTGTACGCTCGATGAGGATGGGATTTCGTGACTTCGCCCGCGAATTGGTAGGCGCCGTAGGAGCTGAGGTGAAGCATCGCCTCGAGAAAACAGAGCGCTTCTGCGTCGGCGCCATTGAAGGTGTCAAACTGGCGACTCCCAAGGAAGAGGAAGCACGTCCCCATAGGGAGCCAGTCAAAGTCAAATTTCCTAATTTCTACAGTGGAAAGAAGGAAGATAACTTTGACAATTGGGAGGCTAACGTTAAGACGTATGTGCACCTGCAGAAGGTGTCTCCCGATGAGCAGGTCCTCATCGCCATCCATGCGCTAAAGGAAGAAGCCGCCAGTTTTGCACGCTCCTTAGTCCGCGCTGCTAATTGCAGCGACGACGTGGTTGCCTACTTTGCCTTCACCCCTCTCGCTGACTTTCTTAAGTTGCTGCACGAACGATTTGCAGATGTCTCGCGTAGCGTCAGAGCCTCTGATCAGTTGCAAACCATCCACTCTCGTCAGTGGAGGAGTGCCAGGGCACTCAAGGGAGTAATGGACGAGTTAGTGGCTACTCCTGACCATGGGGTCACAGAGACCCAACTGGTCAACCTCTTCTACCGGGCTATGCCCGAGTCGCTGCGTGGGCACCCACCATGACCTACGACGCACTGAGCAGGGAAGTGGTGGCGTTTGAAGCAAAGTTTGTGTCAGTTTCCACTTTCTGGCACAAGGATCTGGACAAGGGAAAAGGTGGAAGGGTCGCACTATCTCAGGGCAGGTGAAGACAAAGGATAGCCTGATCCTTACCTTAGATGAGGGTAGTGTCGATGAGGTCCCCTACGACCAGATAGAGTGGGGGCTGGAGGATGTGGACAGCAGCGCGAGTCAAGGGAGAACTTACGCTACTGTCGCGGTTGGAGGGAGGCCGCAAGGAGGAGGAAGGGGCCAGGGCCAAAGGGGCCGGGCCTCAGGGAACCGTTCTCAGGGCGATCACGGGGTTGGTGGCAGAGGAGAAACCGCCAAGCGGGAGGAAGGGGTCAGGGTCCCCCGCAAAACCGGTCTGGGAATAGGTCCCCCTATAGGAGAAGTGGTTGGCACCCAAGGCTGCCACAAGGCAGGCCTTGGGAAGATCTGGGCCTGGACCAACGCTTATGGCAACAACGTGTGAACCAGGGGCAGTGCATCTACTGGGGTGACCCTGGCCACATCATTAAATACTGTCCGAAGTATAGAGAGGCTCGTTGGGCTGCACAAGAAGCAAAAGGCAGCCGCCGGTAGGGGTAGCAACTGCCTCTACCATAGGGCCATGTGGAGACGAGTCAGCAAGCCAGCACAAATCTCCCAAACCACATGAGCCCATGGCAAAAGTTGCAGGCCGGTGCCTAGACAGCTGCCCAGAGACTGCGTGTGTTAGAGTCTCTCTAGGCACTTCCCTCACAGGCGTGGCAGAGGAATTGAAGGAGAGAATGCCCGCCTGGGCCAAGATGAGGAAAGAGAATAGGGGGCAACTTATACTAGTAGGCACATAGATTTTTAGAGGCCGAGCTGGCGCCTTAGTGGATAGTGGGGCCACTCGCAGTTATATTAGTAGGAAGGCGCTGCAGAAGTTGAAGTTGCAGTTAAAAGTCCAAAGATTGGCAGACCCCATAGTAAGTATCCTCGCAGACAATCGCACCATGCGAGTAGAGGAGTACGTAGAGGGAGTCCAGGCATATTTCCGCCTAGAAAAGGATGGGAATGTGGAGAAAGTTCTCCATTCCCTAACTCTCCTCGTAGAGGATAGCCTCCCGTTTGACATAGTCCTGGGTATGGACTGGGGAGAGGCAGCAGGCGCCACACTCTATTTGAGGGAGCACGAATGTAGGCTCCCTAGTCCATCAGGCGGTGTCAAGACTGCCCGTCTGTTCCATGTGTCAGGAGTAGACAACTCCCTGGAACATTGCTGCCTTAGCGCTCCTGCGTTCGCTAGGTTAGTGAAGAAGAAGCAGCTAGAGGAACAGGTTTTTGTAGCCTATGTTAGGCCAGTTACTGAGCCTAAGGAAGAGAAGCCTATAGACCCTGCTATTGCTAAGCTGGAAGAGTTCACAGACTTAGCGAAGCCGCCGGTAGGAGTAGTACCGCGGTCGATCCAGCATCGTACAGAGATTGAGCCTGGCAGTAGGACCCCCAAGTAGGATGTCCCCGCGGGAGTTGGAGGAGCTGCGCAAGCAATTAGATGAGCTCCTAGAGAAGGGTTGGATTAGGCCCAGTTCATCTCCATTTGGAGCACCTGTTCTGTTTGTCCCCAAGAAGGAGGGAGAGCTTAGATTGTGTATAGACTATAGGGGTCTGAACGCTGTCACAGTCAAGAATGCTGAGCCACTGCCTAGGATAGATGATCTCCTAGATCGAGTGCAGGGGTGCAGATATTTTCGAAGATAGATCTAAAGTCCGGATATCATCAGATAGAGGTTCATCCTGATGATCAGTACAAGAAAATTTTCGGGACTAGATATGGGCACTACGAGTTCATCGTGATGCCCTTTGGACTAACCAACGCGCCAGCGACTTAGGCCGTGGTTAGATAGGTTTGTTATAGTTTATTTGGATGATATCCTAGTGTTTAGCAAGACCCTTCAAGAGCATCAGGGTCATCTCAGGCAGGTCTTGGAGAAGCTGAGAGAAGCTAACTTCAAGATCAACGCAAAGAAGTGCGAATGGGCGAAAACCCAAGTGTTGTATTTGGGCCACGTCTTAGACGGAGACGGCATTAAGCCAGAGGATAGTAAGATTGCCGCGATCAGGGATTGGCCTACACCGCGTACGTTGACAGAGTTGCGGTCGTTCTTAGGCCTAGCAAATTATTATAGGAAGTTCGTAAGGAACTTCTCCACTATCGCTGCGCCCCTTCGCAGATTGCTAAGGAAAGAGACCATCTGGAAGTGGGACAAGGACTGCACGTCTGCTATGAAGAAGTTGACGCAGGCACTGATAGAGTATCCAGTCCTTAAGGTGGCCGATCCGTCCTTACCCATTGTCGTCACTACGGACGCTAGTCAGTACAACATAGGTGTTGTTTTGCAGCAAGACGATGGCAATGGTTATAGGCCCGTAGAGTTCATGTCTGCTAGGATGCCTTCAGAGAAGGTTGCGACATCTACCTATGCGAGGGAACTCTACGCTCTTAGGCAAGCGCTAGAACACTGGAAGCACTACTTGCTTGGGAGGCATTTCAAAGTCTATTCTGACCACGAAACGTTGCGATGGTTAAAAATGCAGGCCAAGATGACACCTAAGCTTACTAGGTGGGCCGCAGAAATAGACCAGTATGATTTTGAGCTCAAGGCAGTCGAGGGTAAATATAATGTAGTTGCGGACACTCTGAGTAGGAGCGCTGACTACTTTGGAGAAATAGTTCACTATCTGGACATAGGGAGAGACCTGCAGCAAAAGGTCAAAGACACATATGCGCAGGACCCTGTCTATAGTGACCTCCTCAAGAAAGTAACGGAGGCCCCAGAGAACGAGCCGGATTACCGCACTACTGACGGACTGTTATTTGAGAAGACTAACGTAGTTGACCGTCTGTGCATTCCCAATAGTGAGGAGATTCGTAGTCTGATCTTAGGAGAATGTCACGACATAGAGGGTCATTTTGGTTGGCAAAAGACTCTAGCCAATCTAATGCACGCGTACACCTGGCCAGGAATGAAGAATGACTGCATAGAGTATGTCCGCAGTTGTAAAGTTTGCCAGCGGAATAAGACTACCACACGTGCCCCGCTAGGTCTTCTCAGACCCTTGCCTATTCCTGATCAGCCAGGAGATTCGGTGTCCATCGACTTCATGGACGCTGGCGTTAAGAGTAGGCATGGCAAGAGCCAAGTTATGGTGATAGTCGATAGATTTAGCAAGTACGCTGTTTTTATACCTTTGCCTTCAGAGGCATGGACCGAGTTAGTGATCCGTAAGTTCTTTGATCATTGGGTCAGTGAGCACGGGGTCCCATTGTCTATAGTTAGTGATAGAGACACCCGGTTCACGAGTCAGAACTGGCAGGAGTTGATGAGAGTCTATGGTTCTAAGTTGCTAATGTCGTCTGACCGTCATCCAGAGACCAACGGTCAGACTGAACAGATGAATAAGATCCTGCAGCAAGTTCTGAGAATGCACATTAGACCAGATCAAGTTGACTGGGACGAGATGCTCCCCAAGGTAGCCAGTGCCTATAACAATAGTGCGCAATTGTCTACATGCCGCACTCCCAATGAACTGCACAAGTCCTTTAGGCCACGTAGACCGTTTGAAGGACTTAACCGGGATCAGATTCATAGGCTACCGCCCGGTACTAGGGAGTTTGCTATACAACATGAGAAAGAACTAGCTACTGTTGTAGAGAATCTCAGGAAGGCCCAGCATAGGATGATAGAGCAAACCAACAAACATCGTCGCCCATCACAGTTCCAAGTAGGCGACTTAGTTTGGGTCAAAGCTAAAGAGTTTGCTCCTGAGGAGAACATCTCGCAAAAGTTACTGCCCGCGTATAGAGGACTGTGGCCAGTTCTAGAAGTCAAGGGCGAAGAAGATGGTCCGTCCTACTCGATAGAGATTCCACTACACCTCCACACCTACCCAGTTTTCCATGCGTCAAAGTTGTTGCCATGCACAGTAAGTGACCAGTTCCCATCTGGACGTTCCATGATCCCTCCAGACATGGATGGGAGGTACAACATTGACGACATTGTAGGTGAAGACGTGTTTAGAACAGGAGGTCGAGGTCGTCCTCAAAAACATTATAAAGTCAGATTTGCATATCAGGAACCAGAAGACGACTGGTGGTTCACCAGGACTGAACTTCTAGAAACAGCCCCCGACATAGTCAGGGCCTACGAAAAAGACAGAAAGGGTAAAGGTCCTGCCTTGGACTGAAATATTCTCGGAGGACCTCGAATTTAGGCCGGCTGGAGTGAAACGGTATTCACCAGTTCGCAGGAGCTGATGCAGATTCCAGGGCTCGATCCCTAGTTCCCACCTCACCTGTGTACAGTACCTGTGTCAACCCGTAGAGTAGAACCTGCGACGTGTAGGACTGCCAGTGGTAGGTAGGTCATTGTAGGTTACACGGTATAGGGGATTCGAACTGTAGACCTGTCGGGTAGGAGTCTAGAGAGTCCAGAGGTCTTAGCTGTAGACTTTCCGAAGGGTCAAAGTCGTAGCTGCTACAGGACCGAAAGGCCAAGTAGATGCTTCTAGAAGTGGCCTTTCGGAGTCAGCCCACTGTAGGTCAAGGCAAGTGGGCAAGTGGTGGAAGTCCACCGCGCAGAGTCAGCAGTCCCAGTCCAGTCAGTCCGGTCCAGTCAAGCAAGTACCGCCTGGGACTGTGTGCACCGTGGGCCAGGGTAACAGGGCAGGCCGACGAGCTACAGAAGTATAAATCAAGAGGCCGCGCACAGCCATTCATTCATTCCTGCGGAAGCCAYGCGGAAGCGCTGTCTCAGYGGCTTGTGCGAGGAGGTYTGCAGTGACGCCCGAGGACGAAGTGGGCGAGAGAGACGAAGTGCAGCCATAGCGATAGGGTAGAGGCAGCCATAGCTGCCATAGCTGTAGCTTAGAGTGAAGTGTGTGTGTGTTGTGTGAGTGTTCAGAGTGATGCTTGTGGGATATCCAGGGTGATCCAGTGTGTGTGAACAGTGAGTTGTTGGGCGCTGAGTCGCCATAGCCGGTGAAAGCGAACTCTTATCTGGGTGCCATATCTCTGAGTATTGAGTGGGCGCATGTCACCAGTTTGCTGTGCTGCTGTTTACATACATGAAAAGTGTGAATGCAACGAGTCTGATTGCAGATTGATTGATTGATTGATCGATTGATTGATTGATTGATTGATTAGGGCATACTAACTAGTCCCAAAATCGCAAATTTTTGACCTATGCAAGGAATATGAGTGTGAACGATATACAGAAAACCAAGTTGCGAAATCACACAGATGTCCAGGTAGTCGTATCCAAGCAGAGAGTACAAAATTCACTGAGAGACCATCCATATAGAGAAATACAATGAAGTAATGAGTCAATGTCCAAGCCCGTAGGCCACACCAACACAGAATCCAAAGTCTCTCCTCTCCTGTCTGACGCCCAGCGCCCAGCCTACTCTACCCGACTAGCCTACCTACATCTGGTTCACGCAACAGGCTCACCTTGACACTCGAAGACCAATGTACATGACTGTCAACACCATAGCCGACCTCTCTTCATGCACCAGGTACGTAACTCGTCACCCTCAATCAGACCTTGATTACCCCACACCCGCCTCCTTCCCTGAAGACCACTCTATCACCCACATTACCCCCTGGCGCCCAACAGCCCACCTATGACCGCCTGCGCCTCGCTGCCCTGCAGCGCCCCACTTCACCTCTACGCGCCCTGTCAGCGCCCTTGGCAGCAGCGCAGCATCAAGCGATAGCGCAGCAGCACTTCCGCATTGCCAGCACTGGCCAGAATGCCCGGCCTGGGCTGCCTCACTCCTTTCGTGGAAGTGGCAGCCTCCTGGATGTTGCGTGTGGCCTGGCTGGAAGCTTCCAGTAGCTTCCGGTTGGGTCCCTGACCCTGCACCCAGGCCCGAGACTACAATTGAGGGTCTGGGCCCTTTGCAGTTAGGCACGGCGTGAGTCTCCAGACTTGGGCTCTTTGCTGCATCTGTGCAGGCCTCCCAGGCAGGTGCGTCGGCACTACTGCTTTTGTAAAGGCCGATGGCCTGCTTCCCAATGTATCGGCCCTGCTTTGTGTATGTGTGCCCAGGCGCAACTGTCAAGGCCTGGGCCAACTGTATGATGCAGCAATGTGAGGCTCACGCGTCCACCCAACCAACTGGCGTGCTGCGATAGCCTGAATACCCACATCTGGAAATGTCGAATTTTGCCTTTGACGAATATTCAGGCCCGCCTTCACTTAGGGCGGGTAGTTGGCTTGCTGGGGGCCTTAGCCCAGAACAATGTGATGTCTGATAGGGCCCCTTGAGGGCTTGTTCCTCACATTCCATCCCCCTTAGCTTCGAAAGTCCGCTGAGATGCTTCATGCTGGTGCCTTCCCTTTTAGTTTCTTCTCATAATCATCCATGATCTGAGGAGCTGTCTTGACAAGCTCCTCCCTTGAAATCGATCTTCCTTCGGATCAGTATGATGCTTGAAATGTACTTTGTACTCCCTCGCAGGTTTGGGAGGTGTTCCCCTGCCAGGTGGCTTGGGAACAGGCATGTCTCTATGATCCAGGATGTTGTCGACGTCCACGTGGCCATCCATGGTTGGGGGCAGCATAGATCTCCGTGATGGGAACTGTACTGTCTCAGCGAAAGGTGCAAGCTTGGAGGCGTGAGAAACAGGGTAAGTGCGTAAGTGACCAGGGATACAAATGACGTACGAGGGACCATCCAAATCATTCCCCACAATGTCTAAGACTTCCCAGGGAGCGAAATACTGAGGCATTAGTTTCCTAGAGATGCCAAACTCCTGTCCCAACTCACTAGCCTTGACCCAGACACGTTCCCCTACCTGAAATGTGGACTGTTGGCGACGCTTGTTCTCAAAAGCAATCGTGGCTTCCTGCGATTTCTTGATATGTTCGACAGTCTGCTGCAACAGTTTCTCGTACTGGACACCAAATTCAATGGTTTCAAGAGTTGCAGCGGTTCGGTTTTCAGGCAGGAGGAAGTCTAGAGCAGATCTAGGTTTCCATCCCAGATGCAGTTGATTAGGACTGACGCCGGTGGTGCTGTGTACAACACTGTTGTACAGACTGGCGATGAGAGGTAATTTCTCATCCCAGTCATCCTGGCTGGGCTTAATGTAATGCCTCAGCAGATGCTGCACCACACGGTTCATCTGTTCAGCCTGCCCATTTGCTTTGGATGATTCCCAGAAGTCATCTGCAGCTGGCTGCCCATCTGTTCAGCGGCCTTCTTCCACATCTCGCTTGTGAATCGCACATCTCTATCACTAACGATTGTCTTTGGCAGTCCAAAATCACGCACCCAGTTATCCATGAATAACTTGATGACATGTTCAGTCCTGGCGGTCTTCGGCATGGCAATTAGTCTAGCATACTTAGTGAACCTATCAACTCTGACGAAGATGTGCCTCTTGCCATTCTTGCTGGTCACGAGAGTATCCATGAAGTCCATGGAGATACTCTGCTCGGGGCCAGCAGGGATGGGTAGAGGCTTTAGTAGCCCAAGCGGAGCTTGAGTCCGCGGATTATCCCGCTGACAGACCTGACAGGTCTCTACGTACTTCTTCACATCGTCTAGCATGTTAGGCCACCAGAATCGCTGTACTAAATTGACACTAGTCTTCTTATAGCCAAAATGTCCTGTTGCGTCGTGGCACTCACCTAAAAACAAACTATGCAAAATTTCCTTAGATGGAACAACTAACCTTTTGAACCTTGCCTTTTCAAGAAAGAGTAACCCATTCACCATCACAAACCCGTCGGAGGTGGCCTTGTCCTTGGCCTGCAGTTTGTTGATGATGTCCATTGTGATGGGATCTTCCTTGTAGGCTTCCCCCAAAGACTGAATAACGTCCTCAGACAAACCAAACTCAGAAATCAGCGCACCTAGGTAATCTGCCCTCCTAGACAACGCATCTGCAACCTTGTTGTACTCTCCCTTCACATAGTCTAGTTTGAAATCATACTGATCTATGACTTCAATCCAGCGTTTGAGTGCATCGGAGAGAAATGGTTGTCTTGATCCACTTGAAGGTCTGATGGTCAATTCTCAAGTAGAAGAACCTTGCTAACAGATAGTGCCTCCAGTGGACAAGTGCCTTCTAGAGAGCGTAGAGTTTCCTCTCATAGGTGGACTTTGCCAACTTCTTTGATGGCATCTTTTTGCTCATGTACTCGACCGATCTCAACTTTTTCCCTTCCTGCTGAGCCAGCACTGCGCCAATCCCATATTGGTTTGCGTCAGTGGTTACAACAAATGGCCTTTGCGGGTCGGGGACCATGAGAACCTCATGGTGCGTGAGAGCATGTTTCAAACGCTTGAAAGCTGCCTCGCACTCGTCGGTCAAATCCCATGGTGTGTCAAGTCGATCAGTCAAGGGAGATGTGATCGTGCTATAATTTTTTACGAAATTGCGGCAATAACCACACATTCCCAAGAATGATCTGACCCCAGTCACAGACTGGGGTCGTGGCCAATCATGTATGCTAGCCACCTTTGCATCTTCGGGCATAATCCCATCCGTGGATACTTCATGACCCAAGTACAAGATTTGAGTGCGACCGAACTCGCATTTCTCTGCGTTTATCTTATACTTGTGTTGTCGGAGGAGTGAAAGTACTTTGTCTACATGTTGAGCATGCTCCTCAACAGTTCTACTAAAGATAAGTATGTCGTCGAGGTACACAACAACGAACTTATCCAAGTAGTCATGGAAGATCCTATTCATGGCGTGCTGGAATGTACCCCGCGCATTGCAAAGGCCAAAGGGCATCACCACAAACTCGTACAGACCGTACTTGGTCTGAAATGCGGTTTTGTGTTGGTTCTCTGGTCTTATGGCAATCTGATGGTAGCCGGATTTTAAGTTTATCTTTGTATAGTACTTACATCCTTGCACCCTATCCAATAGGTCGTCGATGAGGGGTAGAGGCTTTGCGTTCTTAACAGTGATGGCATTGAGGCCTCTATAATCAATGCACATCCTTAGTGTTTCCCCTTTCTTTGGAACAAACAGAACTGGTGAGCCAAAGGGGGAAGTGCTAGGCCGAATCCAACCCTTTTCTGTGAGCTCTTTCAGTTGCTGACGGAGCTCGTCCAACCCGGCCGGAGCCATCCTATAGATTCTCCCTTTAGGTGTCTTACTACCTAGGATGATCTCTATGGCATGGACAACCTCCCTGTCTACGACTCCTGAGGGCTCCTCGAACAGGTCAGGGTAATTAGCGACGATGGTCTCTATCTCCGGGGGTGTTTTAACGGCCTCCCTTTTTGCAGAGACATAGACTAAGTACATTCCTTCTTGGTTCTATTTATAGTAGTTATAGAAGGCAGATGCGCATAAGCACCCATAGGAGTCTATTAACCTACTGGCTTTATACTTGGCCAGTCTAACGGTCCTCCCATTAGGCAACTCATGCTTCAACACCTTCTTGTCCCAGTCAAACTGGGGCTTGGCAACCTCGAGGTAGTACATGCCCAACAACATGTCAAAGGGCAAATCGTCGCTCACCAGGAATGATATCTTATGAGTTATCTCTCCTCCTGGGTAGGAGAAGGTGCAGACTATGTCCTTAACGTAGTCCTCCACCGTCATGCGCTTCATGTTGGCCAACGTAGATGCTACCGGTCTACTAAGGCGCTGCACCCGGTCCTTTAGGCGCAGTCTATCAACGCAGTCGTGACTTATGAAGTTTCGCGTGGAGCCAATGTCTACGAAGGCGCCGCATTTGCGACCACGCACACCAGCTTCCACAACGAAGTGCTCCCCTCTAGGACCTCTACTCGGTGCCACCCAGGACTCACGAGGGTCCCTTGCCGACCACTCACCTTGAAGGTCCTCTAAGGCTTCAAACACATCCAACGTACAGAGTATAGTTTGGGTCCGGATGCGTCTGCGGGGTGACTAAGGAGTCAATAGCTTCGACCAACTCTTGAAACGGGGAGGGTGCATCACCCGCTTCAACGAGAGTAGAAGCAACTACAACTTCTACCGGCCCTAAGCGTTTCCCGAGCTAGAGCTCATAGAGGCCCCAGACTGAGAAGAAGAAAACCCACCCTTAGGAGAGGATCTTCTGCAAGACCTTCGGATTCTTGCACTTAAACTGCGTATGGCCGTACTCACCGCAGTTTATGCAACACAACCCTAGACCAACGGTCCCGCCACACTTCTTGATCCAAGCCTGCTCTAACCCAAGCAGCTATTTTGTTTGGGTTAGCGGCCTGCCCCTGACTCCTTTGCTGCCCGCCCTTGCCGCGGCCCGCTGCCTTAGTCTTAACTACTGCAGCGAGGTTGCTACCCTCAACACTCTCCTTGCCATCTAACTCTGCACCCTCCACAAGTTCAGAAACATCATCGATTTCAGTTTGATTCCCTTCGGAATCAACCATCATCAATCGACTACCCTTTTTCTTCCATCCCTGTGGAGTCTTCTTCTTTCTCCCGTCCGTAGAAGGGGTCTGAGCACTACCCAGTGTAGCCTCTAAATCTAGGGCCTTCTTACTGAATGTCTCAAACGTGTGACACTCTAACCGAGCCTCGCTGGCCAGTAAGGTCTTGATGTCTGTGCGAAGACACCTCAAGAACATGGTCAATAAGACCTGTGGATTGGACTCGACTCCTGCGACAACGATCAGGTGCTCTACGGTCGTGGTAAGCTCTCGCACTGACTTGTACTTCCTAGCATCAAGCTTTAATAACCCATTAGTGGCAATATGTGCCTGTTGAGGGTTGTGCCATCGTGCTTCCACTAAATCCATAAAGCTCTCTAAGGTGTGGGTCTGCACCCAATCACCCATGTTCCTGCCAAAACCCTTTTAAGCTACCAATCCATTTAGCGAGCGAGCTGCTGAACCCTCTAAGTAGGATGCAGCAGTAATCACTTCCTCTTCTACCAATGTCCTCTTTGCCATCACCCACGCTGGCACCGTTCTCAACCACGTGCCGAGAGCCTTGTCCTTCTTGTCTCCTGAGAAGGTTGGAGGTGGTTTCAGGGGGGTCTTGGGATACCAAGGAAATTGCTGTCCCGCCGGCGAGACAGGTGACGACTGTGGTGTAGCACCAGTCGCAGGACCGAAAGATGAAGAAGCAACAGTCTGAGATAGGGCTGTTGCTGATGTACCACTTGGTGGTGGTCCAGACTGAGCGGCATAGGGGCCTGTCATCGTTGAGAATGGCAGCGATGGCAAGACTGCTGGCCTGATTCCTGGCCTGTGCATGGCATTCAGGATCTGGTCCAAGGTGTCCTGGATGGTATCCAGTTTACTGTCCATGTATGCGTGCATGGACATGATGCTCGCCTTAAGAATCTTTTCATTATTGTTAAGGGTCGAGTCATCTAACCCCTCTAGTGCAGCCTTGTCTGCCTCCCTACCCTCTGGTCCGACACTCCTGTCTCTAATCTCTTTCTCTCTTTTAGTAGCCTGCCTGAGTTCCTTCTCTAGCCTCAAACAAATCCTTTCTACTTGTTGGAGCTCCATCTTCTCCCGGGTGCGTGAAGGTGGCGAGTTGAACTGCGAACTCGCCATCTGACTAGTGCCAGCTCCTGACGTACTGGAGATGGACTGTGAACTGGTCGCGTTGGGTGGCATACCCAAACTCTGACCAGTAGAGTTTGCAGCAAAGGTGGCCATTGCTACCGCGCTAGCTGCTGCTGCTGCCAACGCTCGTTCGGTTGCCGTCGCTGCCTCTCTCACAGTCTCTAGATTGTGGGCCCTTGTTTCGGCCCTAAGCCTTTTCTCGTCTCCTGGTAGTAGAACCTGGAACACAACGGGTATCCTACCGGTATCTCGTCATGTCTGCCTCCTATCGTCAGATCTATCCTCTCCACCCTCTGATCCGCTCATGGGCTAGGCAGACGCTGTCTGCACTAATGTCCTCTCTGGGACCTACCGCAACATACGTCTGACCAGTTCTAAAAATAAATAAAATGATAGATGTCCGGCGAGTTACCTTGACTACTACTCAAGCGGCATCAACAACACTTACACAAACCGTACAAATGTAGCCTACCTCTATCTTTGATTAGTTCTGCACAAAAGCTTTAAGAAGAACTGACTATGGTAGATTACAGTCCTACTCTAGGCTGTCTGTTAGGTGTAGCAGTCTGTCATCCAACTAATCAAGATAAAATAAACTACAGTGAGCAGATGTATGCACAATGGATAATATAGTGATGAACAATTGAGTTCACAATTGGAATCCCCTTCCCCTGTATCCAACGTACCTGTGAGCATCATCAAGTTGCGGTGCCTAAGGTGTGCAACAACGGCCCACCCCTGTGCCCAAGAAGTATGCTTATGACCAGCCTGCCCTTTGTTTACCCTCGCGTGCAACGAGCCTTACGTCTGACTGATCTGGCTGATCACGAGGCAATTTAAGGACAGCCCCCGAGAGTCCTCAGGAATTCTTTAACGTCGCAATCAGGACGACGATCACATCCAGTGGACAGTTCAGACCCCAACCAGAAATGTTTATAGACGGTCTGGAAGCGTCTACGTAGGACTGGTCAGTCCGCACACCCCTTCTATCAGCACAGCAAAGAGCCTCAATGGACAAAGCAGCATGGCCTGCGTGTACTACTCCCATGGGTTGGCATGGTGACCGTGACCCGTGCTTCGACCAGGGCCCTTCAGATGCACCGCCCTCTCCTGCCAGATGCGCCACCTTTCAAAAGAGAGGACACTCAAGTTGGACTCACTTGCTCACGGTAAGAAGAGATTGGGAGGGTAGATAAGGAATGGGAACAACGTACCTGGAGATAGCTGGCCCCAACCACGAATTTCTCACCAATTGGGCCGATGTGCATTTCGATGACCGGTCATTAGCCTCGGTACCACCCACAACGCAATGCAGTGCCACCTCAGCCAAAATGCCACGTCAGCATACTCTCATCATCATACACACATCCGCTGTCGCCACAGCTCCCACGTTGTCGCCACAGCCTTCCAGCGGCGGGCCTCTCCACCTAGGCCCCGCTAATCAACCAGCGCCAAAGTATCCTTACTGCACATGAAGCATCGTCAACGCACCAAGTAACAATGTCGCCGATGCCAGGTAAGCGGCGATCACGAACCAGCTCCGATACCAAATTGCAAGGAATATGAGTGTGAACGATATACAGAAAACCAAGTTGCGAAATCACACAGATGTCCAGGTAGTCGTATCCAAGCAGAGAGTACAAAATGCACCAAGAGACCATCCATATAGAGCAATACAATGAAGTAATGAGTCAATGTCCAAGCCCGTAGGCCACACCAACACAGAATCCAACGTTGCCCCTCTCCTGTCTGGCGCCCATCGCCCAGCTTACTCTGC